ACAGCTTGCTTGGTTATCGAGCCTTTACGTTTTAAAGTTTAAATAAATTTCCATTGTTTATAGTAAAATCAATAAAACAAAATTGATAACTTTGAACCTTTGCAAAATTTTTTTTTACTAATATAAATGAAAAAAACTCTCTGACAGGCCCTTAATTGAGCATCTGCAAATACAATCACGGAAGGATTATTCCAACAGTTTGCTTGGTTATCGAGCCGTTACGTTTTAAAGTTTAAATAAATCTTTGATTATTTATTATCCCTTGAATTGTATTTGCAACAAATATGTTGCAAATTTATTTCTAAGTGAAAAATGATTTTTGAGATCACGCCACTATCATAATAAAAAAAATCGAACATCATACAATGATTATCGCATAAAATAATTGCACAAAGTGAATGAACAAAATTTTCTTCTAATGCCGATCATTTTATATTAACGTCAAAAATTTTTTTTTTAAAGCTACAATAAAATTTTTTTTTTTTTGCATTGTTAATGATTGCATTATATTTGATAATGTAGGAATTAATACAATTATGTAAAACTTCACAACCGAAAATTCAAAAAATCGTTTCCGAAGAGGAAGATCCAGAGAGTATTAGTTAGTATTATTGTATTTTTATGCAATTTAGAAAATCACGTGTCATTCATTTTTTTTACAAAATGTTTTTTGTGCTGAACGTTTTTTCCCTTTACGAATTAGATCGTCTTTTGACCTTGAATGATTTGATTAATACCGTTTTGACAAGATATGAAAACATTTTAAAAGGAATATTTGATCAACCTAAAGAACTGAACCAACAATCTCTTCTACAACCAAAAGCAAAGGAAGAAACAATATCCTCTTCATCTGCAGTGTAATATTACAGTTTCATATTATTACAATGCCTATATTATACTATACTATATGGTATTAATTCTGTATACATATAATCATAGAAGTAATTCCGATTCGTGGTTAATTGATTTGAGCGAACCTGAACCACCATTAGGCCAAATTAGAATCACTTCAAATACGAACACAACAACATCCTTTTCTTCAACAAATGAATCGATATTAAACAATTCAACTTCTTTTGATAAAGGTAATTCTTGTGTATATGGATATTTCCTTTCGCAATAAATGATTAATATTCCTTTTATTACTATAAAAATCAACAGATGATGATTTATTAGGATTTTCTTTCAACTAAATTGTGTATTGTAATTTGAAATTAAAACTTATCCACACACACACACACACACTTGTTACTGTGCCAGATAGATAATAATTATAATAATAATAAATTTAAATTGTTGTAAAATAGTAAAATAGTAAAATAAATAAATCATTAATGGTTAAGTTAACGAATAAATCAACGAATGGTTATTTTTAAATTATTTGTGACCTGATTCAACAAATATAGATTAAATGTATATATGTGTATTGTTATCAAAGTTTGTCGGGTTTCTGCAAAATAATATTATCCTTTCATGTCTTTCATGTGCAGAATTTTTTCATTTGAAAGCGGGTTTTTTTTAATATGCAGGGAGAGAATAAAAAATTATTAGTGTGATTGGACAATATTAATTTTTCAAAATTAGCTATTTTTAATAACCAAGTGTTTGAGGTTTCTTCTTATATATATATATTGTGCGAATTATTTTTTAATTTCCCCAATTTTTATTAACATTGTTTTTTTATTGATAATAATAACTTTTTTTGGTGGAATAATAATAAATAAAAAAGGCGAGTTCTTAATATTATTATTTTTTCAGACAATCGCTCTAATATAATAACAATAATGAATAAATTTGGAAATATTTACATCATTTAATTACTTTTTAAATTTGGTAAATAATAAAAATTTCAACAATTGTAACCGTTTAATATTATCATTATGATAATGAATGATAAAATTTCGTATATAAATAAACGTAAAAATTTTCATCAAATATTCAAAATATCAAAGTTAACTAACAATTCAAATTAATTACTTGCATTCAATTACTCTTCTCTATTTAAAAATTAATTCGTTCAAATCATAATTGTTTACTCAAAAAACCACATAAAATTTTTATAAAAAAAATCAAATTTTTCAATATAAAATAAAGATGATTATTCCATTACCACGTACGTAATATATTCAAATTTTTGATATTTTTGAGAATTTAATAATAAATAAATCATTTACTAAATTAATAAAATCAAAACTTTTTTATAGATTTAACAATCTTAAGTATCGTTTACCAATTTCAATACCTGATTCAAATCTCTTTCATATTTGCAATTGCATCAATAATCTTTTGTTATATTAGTAAGTATTTTATTGTTGTTGATGATACTGTTATTTGTACATATAAAATTAATATTAGAAAAAAAAAAAAAAAATGTGAAATTTTCTCTTTATTTATCACGCGTAAAAAAAAATAGATTTATTTACAAATAATATTCGAATTTCTAGATCCCATAATAAAGTCAATCTCTGATGGTTCAACTATTCCAATCATAAATTCACACGAAGACACATTATCTCTTGGGAAACGAAAAGAAATGGAAAGACAAGAACAAAATGCTGAAAACAATATCAACAATAATAATAATGGTGGTGATGATAACGATAATAACAATAACAATTTTAATAACAATAATATAAACATATAACA